AAGCGGTCTTTTATTTCTAGAACATTGTCGAAAATTCGATGGGGGCTTGTAATAGTAGCAGGTCTTCTATTCGTAAAAATCCGCTAAAACTCTATATTTTCCTAATTAATACAGCAAAACCTAATCAATATAGTAATATTCATTACGATTGGCAATTCTGCCACGTGGTGGCTTCATGTTACATGTGTATCCACACCACTGTGCGATTACACTAACTTGTGTAATACACAACCATGTACGGTCGCACAAAATTGTGCGACCCGCCCTTTCATACAAGAGTTTGTGAAACCCCGTTACACTCTCCCCAATTAAAATTGTGAATATCCCCTATTCACATTTCACGGTCGCATCATACGAGGCTAGCGTATCTGAGACACCTCACCGTGCTCTAAAACCAACTTTAAATATTCTCCGCTCTATAAGACCTGTGTCTACGACACGCAAAACACCTAGACTAGCTGGTAGCGAGGGCGCCCGCGGGCAAAGCTCTTCTTCTCTTCTGCACAGAGTGCATCTCCAGACATTCCACGGTTTCACGGGAAGCACATTCCAAGGCCTCGGTACCGAGCGCAACACATCGCACCCATCCCGGGCGACGGATTTCTCATGGAGGAGTTGGAGAAAGTCGACTACAAGTCGGATATTCCTTTCCCAGAATGGAAAGACGAGGAGGAAAGACGTGCGCCGACGGCGCGACGTGAGCCCAGATCAAATCATGTGGACATCATGTCCGTTCCCCGACCTCTCGGCTTCCGGGAAAAGTTGTCTTATCACCAATCGCCTCGACGAGGCACAAGTGCAGCAATTGGAAATTGCTTACAGAACGACTCTCCTGCGCTCGTATCCACGATCCGTCTTAGACCCTCGTGTGGGATACGGCTTCCGCTCGGCGGGTCCCGTTACTGGGGCGAAAGACGCGATCACTCGATCGTTAGGCGTCTACGAAGCTGGGCTTCTGGTCAATACACAAGCTGAGCTTGATCAGCGAAAAGCACTCCGAGCTCCCTCTTAGGTATTCCAAGAGATCTCAATGTACTGAAACGCGCTCCACTTCGAGCTTAAAAAAGAAGCTGCTCCTGTTCCCGCAATGCGGACCATCCCTGCGGTGCTCGCCCCTGGCAAAATTGCTACAGATGACGATGATCTCTTTGTGCGATGGATGAAGAGGCTCCGGAAACATTTTTCGCTGTCTTACTTACAACAAAGTGACAAAGAAGTGGACGTTCGCGTTGAGCACCATCTTAGATTTGAGTATATCAAACTCAAGGTGCAATCCATAACGCTCCTGTGGGCTCTGTGGTCACAACAGCTCAGGGGCATAGCTTGATCTCAGCTCATGGCCCTCCGGCTTCCTGGGCCACTGCCGAGAAGCGCGGTGCGCACGACGACGCGAAGCGTCATGATTCTTCTGATCATTAGCGTCCGTGACGTCTGGGCAGTCTTGCTGAAGTAGAACCTCAACCTTCCACGAGCTCTCGGAGACGGGGTATCCCCGCCAATTCACAGGATAGTGGGTTAAAACCCTTCGACAAAGTCCACCCACAAGGCGTTCCACGTCGTGATGGACGCCACCATTTTCATGGGGAGAGTTGGCGGTGGGCGATGACGACTTATTCGGTTGCCGATTGGTGACTCACAATGCTCTTTGAGCATTGGAGGACAAAGTCCGTCGTCATCGGCAATCTGCCGAGAATTTATTCGAGATCGTCTATAGCTGTGCGGAAGTCCTCGAGAGCCTGGAGCAATTTGTGCACCGACTGCCTCACGTTGAGGATTATCGCGCTCTGTCGGAGCAGCTTCCTAGCCGTCAAGCAGGTGAATACATCTCTACGTGCGACTGTGGAGCACCTTGCGTCGTCGGAAATGGAAGTTGTTGCACTTCGTGCTCAGAACCAGTTGCTGGCTCAACATATGTGTGGCCGAGCGCCTTTGGGTGCCGCCCCGGCGCAAAAGCGTCGGCGTTCACTTGTGCCAGATGCCGATACGGCTTAAGCGAGCCCACATAGAACACTAGGTGGGTGTGCATTCTTTTCGGAAGGTTTGGCGAATACGCTTGGCAACGATTGGACAAGATCTTAACGGGTCCAATAAACCGTAGACGAAGCTTTGTCTTAAAAACAGTAGAAACGGCATGTTTAGGAAGGCATTTAGTATTTAATAAAACCAGGTCTCCGACCTCAATGTTTTTAATATTTCCTCTTCCCATGTATGTCTTGGCTATCATCCATATCCATCGCATCGCAAACGTGTCGTAAGACACTCAGTCTTGTAGACAGAAAGTCATCAACTTCTTTCTGCACGGTGAGGGGCTGACATCAGCTAGCCGTTCGGCTATTCCTCCCCTTACCAAGCCCTGAGCCATTGAATGGCGGTATCAGCGGGACGCGAGGATTAACGAGCCCGTTCACGTAGAACGGCGTATAGCCGGTAGATGAATGTACTGCATTGTTCAGAGCAAACGCTACGAGTGGCAACAAAGCGCTCCAGCGCCTCGGCATCTCAGAATTGATGCTGCGAAGAACGTCTTCAACGATACCATTTACGCGCTCAGTTTGACTATCGGTCTGCGGATGGTCCGCCGTTGACATAGTCAACTTGGTGCCCAGCGTCCTAGGGATTGTAGACCAAAACTTCCCAGTGAA